CCCTCCCCCCCCGCCTCCGCCACTGGCCTTAGTGAATGTCTGTCCCCGCTGCTTCCCCCGGGAAGCGGCTTCTCCCCGCACTGCCAAAAGTACCTTAAAACCTTCTCCTGGAGGAAAGGTTACCCCATTCAAAGTTTGGTTGCAGTAGCTCTTATAGTGCCCAAGTTAGTAGCGCGCAAACACACAAACATTCTTCTTTATATATTAGATGGAGAGAACAGCCATTTATGAAGACCCATATTTAGGGAGAAAGAGTCAACAGGAAAAAAGTTAACTACATACAACAGTATTCTCACTTCAGCTAATTGGAATCTTTTCACATTTAACTAAAGCGGCGAGGAGTCCTGTGGCACCTTATAGACTAACTGAAGTATATAGGAGCATAAGCAAAAGACCCACTTCGTCAGATTTAACTAAGTTTTAATATATGTGCAGGAAATACTAATGGAACAACCAACAAGCTTATAGACCATAATGTGCTAGACAGAGAAAACAGGTCTGGCCACTCATATCGTGTTTGATCTCAAAAAACCCTGCTATTCCAGACACTATTTTTTCAGAAGTTTGTGGGCTTTAGGTGGCAGTATCTTGTTCAGTGTTTTAGGTCTGCACCGTTGAACACAGGTGGCATGAATTCTGCTTTATCTACTTCTTCACATCCCCAGAAGCTTTCAAAGGATTTTCCCTTCCAAAAACTCTACAATAAAGTTCAATTTAACTTAAGGTTCCACCAGAATGAGAACTTTCTCCTGAAGGGCTTCTAGAATTGAACTGTCACACTAGATTTTGATAAGAAAATGCAGATAATTGTTGCACCCACCGTTGCGTGTTTGTCCCAAATTCTGTGCAAAGTGGGCCAAGCGAGGTGACTAATAAAGAACTTATGCTTAGCTGATTCTATCTATACTACTAATATACTTGCATGTGAAGCTATCAATATGGATTTTGTACTGGTATTTTAGATGTTCTGTCTGGGTGACAGCAGCAGACATCGACCAGCTACTGTAAGGGGTGGTGGTAGTATGTGAATGCTGCATGGACAATGGCTCTTTAAGTTTTTCCAATTGACACCTGAGGAGTACATCATGGCCCTTCACCCAAGAAGGATTTACCTGGGTATTCCATGGCTCCTTGACAAAAAAGGACATGGTGGTCATGTGATCAGCTCCATTTTGGGAGGTACCACCACTCAGGAAAACAATGGATTTTCCCTCTGCATGGGCAAGATTATAAAAGTACCATAGGGTGCCTCCATCTTAGTCTTTGCTCATGCCCTCTGCTCCAGAAGCATGCTCTTTTGGGTAAGATCTGAGGCATAAGTTGACCTGGGACTGTGGCTGGCCCTTGAGGATTGGGAGAACCTCTTTGTATTTGGTGAGATTAGTTTTCATAACCTCTCACCTGTCTAAGGAGTGATGCTGGTTGTAGCACAGGTAAAGCTCGAGTGCCTATAGGGGTTGCTTCTGAGTCTTCTTGCTGGCCAAAGTGGCAGCAGAAGTGCTGTGTGACTGGTTTTGTGCCTTACAACTCAGGACTGGGGTCCTCCTCTGTAACTAGCCCTGGATCTAAGCAGTTCACCTTGATTAGACTCTCAGTGGTGCCCCCAAACCCACTATTACATCAACCCCTATGCAGGCTCCTGAAATTGGACATATGTACACTCAGCACTATTAGGAACTGTAGGAGTCTTCTCCAAAGGCACCAGGAACACCACCTCTGGTGATCTAGTCCCTCCATTCCTACAGATTAGGTGGTTAATTTTTGGCAGTGGGGGTGGGGAGAATCTACTCCAAGAATTTGGAAAGTGGTTGGGGGCCGCACTTTCATGAAATTAATGGAGGAGGTGTGGTGTCTGGGATGGAGGTTGAGTGCAGAGTGGAGAGTGGGATAAGAGATTAGGGTGCAGGAGGGAGACTGGGAGGGAGTTCGGATGATGAAGGAGGCAGTGGACTGGAGTGCAGGGGTTTGGGATGTGAAAGAAGAGGGTAGAAGAGGATTGTGATCTGGGGCAGGAGATTGGGGTTCCAGATCTGAGAGGAGGTATGGGTCCAAGAGGGGGACAGAGGGTTTGGGTAGGTTGAGAGAAGGGCAGAGAGTTGAGGCAGGGAGGAGTTGGGGTGCCAGAGGCAGGCTGTGGACAGGAGACTTACTAGCCAGCAGCCAAGCCAGTCTGCCTGGAGAGCTAAACCTCGCAGAGCTTAAAGCGTTTTCCAGTCCGCCAGGACAAGTGCTTCAGGGAAGGAGCAGGTGGGGGGGGGGGGGGGGGATCTTCTTGGCTGCCTGTTATTCAAACAAGCAGCTCTCCATTGGCTGGTTTCTGGCCAGAAACTGGCCAATGGGATTGTGCTGGGGTCATGGGCAGCTCCTGAGGCTTCACCCCTCCTCTCCAGTTTTGAAAAAGAAATGGGGCCCAGGCACCTGCCTTGCAGGCCAGATCCAGTGACATGGTGGGCCGTTTCTGGCCTGTATTTTGCCCAGTCCTGGATTAGGTTCACATGCCTGTATCCCAATGTCATATATGGAAAATTGGCATCATCATTAGCATCAGGTGGACTCCACTGAATTGCCCTCAGTGAATTCTTCTGCTCATAACTGATGCATCTGCAATTGAGCTGAGAATGCTGGGAAAACGGCCAAATCAACACCCTTTGTGGCTTTGCTGTGCACTGCAGTTCTTTCCTATGAAATAGGATGGATTTTCAGCATGTTAATATATTTCAGTCAAAATCCCTGCCAGCCTCCAGACAGCTACAAAAAAGAGTCTTCAGACATGTTGATTATTTTTAAAGCTCCCTTTGATACCTACTGACTTATTTGGTTTGCAAGATTCCCCAACTTGCTTTAAAAATAGAAATTTAATTCTAGGAAATACACAGGTTATATGGTAGAGGTATTTACTATGATGCTGCACTTTTAAAATTAAATCACTATTTAGAATTTTACTACTTACAAGGCCTATAAACATTTTACATTCTGTGGATGTGAATGCCAGGAAACTGTAAAAGTAGGAAAACAAAAACTGCTACATCAATACTTTTTCGAGGCATAACTACTTGAAACTTGTCCAGATGTCACAGGCAATAATTCAACAAATATATAATGGCTGAATTAAGTTTCCCTTCCTCCTCCCCCATCATAAATGCTCAGAGAGAAGCCTGGAGAAGGGATTTTTGTGCATGGTTTGTAAATATTCA